AAGTATTGTGAACAGAAATGTCTGTACTACGAAGGTCTTTGTTTCAAGTTGACAGTCAAGCGCAGAAATGTTCATTTGTCTGTAGAGAGTAGCTGGAGTCTCAGATGTTCTTCTTTTATCGTGTCGACAACAAACCTATACAGTCCAAAACTCCGCTCCGCACAAGAGTGGCGTTGTCAGCAGCATTCAACACTTTCCTGGACAGTAACCCAGACACAATAGAAGTTTGATTCTTATGACGGCTATGGCAGTTCACTGTCCAGGAAAGGGTTAAACCCTCCTGCAAGCAGTTGCTCGGGCACTCAGGGCACGACATCATTTAATCGACTGTTTTCATCTCAGATAATGAGAGAACAGCTAAATAGAAATATGCATTTGCCTATACATGAATGTAACAGAGTTAGGTTTCAGTTGTTGAGAAAAGAGCTCACGCGGCCAAGTAGTTAGATCGGAAAGTTAATTGAATGACTAACTTTTATTTTTTACTAGCTGACCCGGCGAACTCTGTTCTGCCTTAAAGGCAGTAAATAAGCAAATTTTGACCGTTTAGACCTACCCTGGACTACCATAGTCATAGTCATAGTCATAGTCATAGTCATTTATTCCATAAACAATATTATATAACAATATAACAAAACCACAATCATTTTAAAACCAAAATCAGCTCAATCGGCCCAGCCGTTCTCGAGTTTTAATCAGACTAACGAACAGCAATTCATTTTTATTTATATAGATAGATTACTGTGATTCAGACATCTAATAAAATTTCGCGTTAAACAACCGGGCTTACAAATCGAAATATTTATTCCTTTCTGATTGTACCTCTACATACTATGTACTATGTCCACTCATAGAGGGCGTGTAACGGAACTCTATAGCAACTGCAGGAAATCATGAAAAACCTTCGGGTAGTTAAGATAACACAGCCTCCTTTCTTAACTGTTAGTTAGACTACAATAGAATTAGAATATCATTCAACTTAGGCCCAGAACAGACGGTGAAACGCAACTGCAACGAAACTGCAACTTTCTGATGATTCTGATGAATGAAACTGAAACTGAAAGCTTCAAACTGGTCGCGTCATGTGTGGTCTCTCGATGGACGCTATGGCAGAAACTTAGATGCAACTCAAAAGTAACTAGCAGTTGCAGTTTCGTTGCAGTTGCTTTTCACCGTCTGTTCTGGGCCTTACTCAATAAAAGGTTGTGAAAGGTAACTACTATTGCTCAATTAAGTTTGTGGTTTATGTTCCTGAATAAAAAATACAAAAAAAGAGTTGTCAGTCGGTTTTATAAATTGTTAAAGCAATTTAATGTATTACAGACAGATTGTAATGAATGTTATTCCTTGAAGTTGGATGTAAATGTAATGTATCTTATCCCAAAAATCTTGAAAGATTAACATAAGAGATGGATATTTGGGGAACCTTTATTTCTCATGTAGAGCAAGAGAGAGATCTGTATCTATAAGTAGCTCGTTCTACTCGCATCGTTTCAGCCAAATGACGTCCACTGCCTGACAAAGGCCTTCCCCAAGGATTTCCATAACTACCGATCCCTCAGGACTACTACTCATAGTAGTAGTAGTAGTACTAAAAAATTTATGTACGAGTACGAGTAAGTTTCAAGAGTGGTGCAGTGTCGTGTCTACGGTCGCGGGTTCGAATCCCGTTGGGAGCAAGAGCAATGTTTTGATGAGCACGAGCATTATTTTATGGTAAGGTCACAGTCATGTTTATTATCTTCATTAATTTTCTGATTACAACAATTTTGACAGATAATGCGTGAGTGAAAGTAGGTGTCAATTCCCTTTAGGCCTATTGTATGCCTTCCATAAAGGCTTAACTGTCCCGGTCAGTCCACTCGAATTATCTACAGACGGTTATAGTACATAATAGTATTTTATTTAGTCGTAATAAGTGCTATTTTGCTATAAAAACTCGTCTGTTATGCTGTCGACTGTATTCAAAACGAAAGTTATTAATGAATTCCCTTATCGGACCAAGGACGCACGCGCACGACCGAGGTCAAGTTTAACCGCAAACCGGTTTGTTCGATGATTAACGACCTTATTCCTATCTCCATATGACCTACATCATGGTTCAGCCGGAAAAGTTGGGTTTAAGTCAGTTTATTGAACTTTGAGAATTTATTAATATCACCAATAATAATATTAATAATATAATTACTACATTCAAATCGAATTAATAAATTCTTAGTCTAGCGTAATTTGGAGACATGAACTCCTTTAAACTGTACGCGCAAAAAACTACCTAGAATATAAATGAAAATTACTAATAATCTCATTAACCCTTCGAGCTAAGCTATGCTTGTGTTTTAAGAGTGGGTTCTTCACCACAATAGTCCAGCGAACGACGGGGTTCCGACTATTGATCCTCGAATCGACAATCCGACATTGACACCTAGTCGCCTTTTTCGTTTCTAAGATGACTGAAAACCTTACAGGACTACAGGCATGTCTCAATCGGTAGGTCTCCGTGCAAATACTTATATGAAGGGGACACTTGCGGGTGTTTCACGCATACGTGGCAATCCCGCATCCGTATTGCTATCTATTTTCGTAACATTATCTACATATTGAGCAGATTTTTGCACAAAACGATCACGTCTCCAACTCTCTAAAACCAAATCCTTACAAAACTTGGTAATTGGGTTACGTTGCATTCATGTCAGAACCCGTGTCAACCCGTATCATCACGCTGACTTCCTGCCTCCGACAGTTTGGCGTCGTGTGTCGACTGATAAACATTGGCCTTCGAGATGACAAGCCCAAATTTACTTCCGGACTTCCGGATACGTAGTTATATGAAGGAAGAGTTTATTCTATTCTGATGCTATCAGTTTAGGGTTAAGGTGACTGACGTATTCTTAACACAGCATCTCTATCCAATTTATGGGTGTATTTTAAGATGGTGCTGTAAGAAAACATCTATAGCTCTACTTATTACAAACGAACTTCATTTATGATAACTGTGATACTTTTTTTATACATAACAAGGCAGGTATTTGATCGCCATCGCACCTGTTAAATTTTACTTAACTATCAAAAATGTTCAGCCGATATGGGCACCCCCTGAAAGATTTGTATCGCAATGTAATAGTAGAAAAAAATCTATAAAGACCGTAAAAAGAGATCAAATTGAGCGGAAAATAGGTAACAAAAGGTTTATTACAGAACATTACAGCACTGATAGATACAGGTACATAATTAACTGTTGACCTACACCTTGAACAAATTACCAAGTAATTAACGATAAGCTTAAAACAAGGATTTCGCTTTTGATAAAGAAAATTAGCAAACAAGGTTGCATGAAACTGAAACAACTACAGATAGTTTATGGGAGAAAGTTTATTCAAAACATTCATGCTTATCCCGGATAGTATATTATGTGGTTTTAACTTTTCAGATCTCGATCGATGTGTCAGTGCAACAGTGCCATCTATCGGAACAGCGTGATATTAACATGTACCCTAATGCCTAACTTAACTAAAAGCAGGTCTTCTTACTGAACGTAAACTTTGCAAAACAAACCAGTGTGCCTACCATGAGTTTACGTTAGGTGAGCTCGCTAGCGAATACGCCAAAAAATTCTATGAAGATTTTATTTCTTAAAAGTAGCCGCTAGGGGCGCTGCACAATATGTCATACATTTAAATGTCATTTTTTTACGCAGTCGCTAGCGAGCACACCCAACGTAAACTCATGGTAGGCACACAGATGGCGTTACAGAACGAATTGTAAGGATTAGCTATGCTGACTGTTTATTAGAATTACCCTTAGATTAATAAAACCTAGATGGATAGTCTTCATACAAACGCTTCGTCAAGAGTGAGGCAAAAATCTTATGTCATTAGTGTCAATTTTGCTGGGGAGTGTAGACAGTGAAGGCGATTTTCCCGAAAATAGGGAAATTTTTAATACGTTTTTAATTACTTTATAATTAACAAAAACAAAACGCATCATGTACTTACTTATTTATTGAATTCAAAGTACCTACCTAATAACAATAAGATAAATCGACTTAAAAGTCTCGATTTCATAAAAAAGGAAGTGTATTTGTACGGCGAACAATTGGGAAATAAATTTTCTTGTTACTGGTATCATTCCCGTATTTAATTTTTGAAAGCCAAATTCAAGCAAAATACGCGTCGAATTGTAGTACTTACTTATGAAATGTAACACTGGTCACTTTCTTTCGTTTTTCTGATGTATTTAAGACACCCTTTCACAGCAAAAACCGTTTTAATTAATTAAAATTCGTCGGACGTGTTTACCAATTTTTCACTTTGACAGTTCATGTGACGTTTACGAGTAAGCCGTGCCGGCTCCCTAAAAACTGCCTCACTTTTCATGCACTGACTATCTATCAAGGTTTTATTAATCTAAGGAATTACCCTTATTATTTCTTTAATGTATGGAGTAAATTCACGTAGAGATATTGTTCGTTATTTTGTCAATGATGTAGTGGCGATTTAGAAGAATCAAAATGTTTCCTGTAAGTTTTCAAAAATGAAATCAACTAAGTGATGCTTCATTCCATTTTTCAGGGCTGAAAAAGTCCTAAATGTCCTTACCAATCACGATCGAATACGCTTTTAAGTGCATTTTTTCTTCATCTATTTCCTTTACGTCCTTTCCTAGTTCTTGTGTTCTATTCGAAGACGATTTTTTTTTGTGGTCGCTGGCGGCTACAAGATGATTAACGATAAGGCTATCATGATCTTAAAGAACTTATTATTATTCTGTGCTTATACCACTTTCGTCATAGTAAAGAAGGATCAAGTATGCTATTATTACCAAAATAATTCTAAAACTTACCCAGGATAGCTCGCAAATGCCCCTCCAGCGTCTGCAGGATGGTCATCTTGATCTCCTTCAAGATTTGCCAGATGACTAACAAGCTCGATTTTATACTAAACCACTTCTGTTTATTAAAGAAAGCTAAAACATCAGGTTATAAATATGTAAGTACAACTTACCCAGAATAGCTCGCAAATGCCCCTCCAGCGTTTGCAGGATGGTCATCTTGATCTCCTTCACGTTTTTGCCAAGGAACTGCTCGCAGGCGGTGGTGAGGAGCTCGTCTTCATTCATGATCTTGCACTGCGCGACTCCAGTCACCGTGAGCGGCACGCCTTGTGCTGTCTCCACCATCTCGCACATCGGGTTAAGGGTCATAACCTGAGAAGATGATAGTGTTATTTAAAAGAGCATTGTCCATTTCCACTTCAACTATTTGTCCTCCACCTGTCTTAGGCTGCGTTTCCACTAGTGATGTGCGAGGATGCGTAGCGAGGGATGTGTTTGTAAAGAACCAATAGAAACGATTCACTTACGCCTCGGTTAGCACAGCTCTGGTGGAAACGGCTCAGTGGAGTTAGATTTTAAAACAAGCGAGGGATGTGTGCGAGGAATGTGTTGCGAGGTTTGCGCATACTGTACTATGTTGGAAGTGGCAACGCATCCTCGCGCCAGACACAAATTTTCACAGCTCCGCTACATATCCTCGTACGACACATTTTCCCGCAAAGCTTTAGTGGAAACCTCCACACATTTTCACAGCACAGCTAGACATCCTCGGTGGAAACGCAGCCTTATTGCCTTATTTATATGCAATGCATTATCACAGCTTTATACACATTTTGGATCTTACTGATTTGTCAAGTTGAAAAGGATCCCCCTTGCTTTTAAAATGCAGCACTACACAGATATTATGGTTTAACTTTTTAATGCGATCGGTCTTAGAATCATGTAAATAGTCTTAGATTAGGTCCGGGTGAAGCTCGCTTCCACCTTCGGCCTAATCAACTTTCCATCAAGTGAGACGCAGGTCAAGAAATTCCTTGTTGTGGATTAAAAAAACAATCATGTCAAACATTAACATTAAAATAAGAAAAGAATACAAACCTCGAGGGAAATCCTCTGGACGTCAGTCACGAGCCACCAGGCCCATGCCCACCCGCCGACGATGGTCCGCTTCTGTGTGGACCCACAACAGCCACCTGGAACAAAGACATTTTAGTTAGTGCCATTGATCATTTCAATTTCTTCCCATAGTTTTATTCCCGACTAGATCACCTGGCGAATTTTGTACGCCTGTTTATCAGAAACAATGTAAAATTGTATAATTTTAATAAAAAAAAATTAAAAAAAAGTTCACTAAAAATTACAAAAACATTTTTTGGAAAAATACCATGATTGATATTTTTGGAGTCGGTGCCAGCCCTTCTAGTGCCTAAGCTTAAGAAACGTAGTACAAAATTTACCGGCATCGATTCCAAAAATATTAATCATGGTATTTGTCTTAATAAAAAAATGTTTTTCTACTTTCCCGCCTCTGTGTGCTGACCATAATGGTGAAATTATTTTTCTAATCGGTCCAGTAGTTTAGGAGTCTCTTTTGCTAACCGTACAACCTACAAAGTACTCATACTTCTAGATAGTTCCACTGGGCAGCGGAACTGCCTGACTTCCTTAGAAAGCGACAGGAATCGAGAGTGGAATAGTACCACCTATTGCTCACGTAACAGCTAGACTGCTTGTTCAAACCGGTTGCATCTCCCTAAGGTTAGTGCCCTTAGTGGTTTGTGCGGAGGTGATAAGGCAAATTAACGAATAACTTGCAAGTACAATGATTAAATTAAATTATTACTATAACGGGATTTGGCAACGCACACACACTTTTAAAAAGATATAAAATAAAGATGGCTCTGAGTATGCACTAGCTGTTCAACTTCAAATCATTATTTGCAAAAAAAAATAATTAAGATAAAGATAATACTAATGTTCCATGTCGGATCATTAAACTAGCGAGTTATTGGAAAACTAAAATCTATGCCAATTAAGCAATTTTTCACGACATTTTTAATCATTATTTTCGATCCAGTAGCTTCAAGATCTAGGTTATTCTGTACTAGCTTAACGACCAATTTCAAGAATTCAAAACTTGCTGAGGATCGATCGAAGTTGTAATTTATTCTTCCTTCACGCTACTTCATTTGACTGGATTTTGGTAATTTTATGTAGTTAAACACAGATTAGGCAATGTAGTTGCAACAAGACAAAAAAAAAATAACCCACCAGTGCCAAAGAAAAAACGTTAATGTTTTTCAGAGCTTTTAACACATTTACCACGCTTCAAATCATAGCTACATAAATTTCGTGTTTTCTATTAACTTAGGATTATGTGGTTAGTTATATTGACACTTTCTAAAGTTTATTAAATTATGGTGGCGGTTATGTAGGCACTTTCCTTGGGAATTTACCGTGAGAGGTACAGTCAGCGTGGAATAATTCGTGACATTCAATGTGGCCAAAAAGTTGACAACACAACCTGATTCCATTTGTAATAAAGACGTGTTGCGAACTTTTTGGCTACTTTGGGTGTCACGAACTATTCGACGCTGACTGTACCGCCTCATTATCCAAGTGATTCGGGTGAAACATTGGAAAGAAAAAGTATGACTATCGCTTTTTATATATTTTACTGATAAATGAACGAACGACGGCACTTATGCTAAATAGCATGTTACGAGTATGTAGTCGAAATTGGAGCGATTCTGCCACAAAAAATATAGTCTGGTAAATATAATACTGTGAAAAAGTTAGGTGATAATATGATTAAGTAAGTAGTTATAGTGCTATGGACCCCGTAATGTAATTTCGCCAAGTAATTCCACTTTCTCTATTAGCGTCTTGCACGTGGACCCGCTAAAGTTGATTATATCGCTCATTCTTTGGGGAATGTTCATTCTTGGGATAAAAATAAATAAGTTTAGTTTCAAATTATCTCTATCTATACGAGTATATTAACGGTGTCGGCGTCGGACTGCTGAATCGAGGATCCGATCAATGCCGTACGCTAGACTATTGTCAGGAACACTCGTGACATAAGCATGGGTACCTGGAGGGGTTAACAGGATATTAGTAATCTGGCCAGTAGGTACAAATTACTAATATTAATTTAAAAATATACAAACTTCAGACTACGCGGAAAAATAGGGATCCAAAATGTGTGAATGAAAAGCAACATCACAACCAAGTGTGAATGAAAAGATCATCCTACAAAAAGATTCACGCAAAGATATGACAATGTAGATTGATCACATTACACAACAATTACAAAAGAGCTAACAACCGTTTTGTAAGTTGATTGCGACGAATTACGTAGAAAGTGGTATAAAGACATAATACGGGTAAACAAACTTGACGACAATAAAGATGTCGTGGATGTTGAACTTTCTCCGTGGCAGAACAAACGTAAATATCGTAGATTTGAGCCGTTTTCACGCACGTATTCCTGTACAATGGGATCCGTCTAGACCAGGGGTGGCCAACCGGTCGATCGCGAATATTAGTCGATCGTGGCAAGGCAAAAAATACTATACATGATTGTGTACTAAACAATGCTGTTCCATTTCAGATTTCAAGAAGTGTGTAAGTGTTAGATCGCCCAGGGTTTCCTTAGTAAACAGTAGATCTTATGTCTAATCAAGTTGGCTACCCCTGGTCTAGACTCTGCATCAAGATTTTATTTGAACCTATTTGGTCTGATAGTTAGAGAGTTGGACTTCTCTCAATTGGAGTCCTGAATTCGATTTCCGGAGGGGACGCATAAAATTGAAAATTCACTTGTATAATGGTTCCAACATTGCAGGTTTGAGTCAGCTTGTCTGAAGAATTTCGAGTATAAGATGGTGGAACTGTATCACCAGTGTCAGATTATGGGACATAATGGGCTAAGTATTAAGTTGGATTTCACAATTATTTTTTATATGAAGTCAGTTACCAAAGGTATGCAATAAACATGCATCTTGAAACTTATTTTACGCGCCTTGTATGTAATTTCCTAAGATGAATCAGAAGAAAGTTCGTTATAAACTTAATTGCGGCCATATCCTGATCATTGGAATTTTATGATAAAACGAAACATTCATGGAAAAATATAAACTACAACGAATAACATAGACCCTTAATAAAGTAGTTACTTTACATTACAGCTGTTCCACAAGGCATTAATTTCTATTTAAATCTAAATAAAGTGACGCTCAACATTTTCAGCAACAACAACAACTATACCTATTATAGCTGAATATATTTTTGAATGGTAATGTGGTACACAGACTGTAGAATTGTAAAATCTCTCAAACGCTGGTAAAAAACATTTTCAACGTGTTTATCGTCACGTTTTGACGAAGCTTTATTCCACGCGCATCAACTGCCCAATTTCACTGACCGGCTCGACCAACAGGTCCCAAAAAGAAAACAAGCAGGACAAATTGAGTCATAGCTCACATAGAATGTTCAGACCCTCCCACCATTTCACTTGCCGGCTATCGTGCGCAGGAGTTGAACGCCGACGATCGACGAACGTACCCGTTACTCCAAACCGGTAAATAAAAAAAGCATAACATCATCCAAGTATACGAAAACGAAGGGACAAAACCCTACAATGGACAGCGAAAGTGATCACAAATTTGTGCTCGCAGACGTTTTGTGACAGTGAAATTGTGTCTCTACGGATGTTATTGTTTGTGTCTGTGAAAACTTTGAGGTGAGTTTCTCCTTTTAGTGATATAGATGAATTTACAATCACTTCAGTCGGACGTTAACCTGACCGAAACTTGTCTTTTGCCAGTCTGTCTAATCGTTAGACACTAGACGCGAACATTAGACACATAAATCAATTTTGTAACTTGTCTTTTGCCAGTCTGTCTAGTGTCTAAACACTAAACGCGAAAATTAGACAAATTTGTTTAAGAACAAAAGTGTTAATGAACATAGTAATCCGTTTTGTTGTACCAAAACGTGTGAACTTATTTAGCTATTATGATCATAAAACTGCAATAGCCACAAATTAGTTAGCAGTGACAATAATCATCGTCTGTTTTGATTCGTGTTGTTGTTGACACTGTAACTGTAAATTATTGCAGTAAATACTCGTACAATGTTCATGAAATTCTAAGGTCTGACTGGATAGTCGACAGTCGTTCAGTTCAGAAAGCATACTACGGGTTTATTTAGCCGCCTGGCAACACATAACTAAAGTTTAGTTTTGTAACTAAACCATTCATAACAACTAACGAACTTCTGTATCTAGCAAGGAATAATCTGAATAATGGCACAGACGCACGGCACATCGGGCTAATACTATGGCATCTTTTTTAGATGTAAATCTCCCATTTTGGAACAAAATTATATTGTGTACAAATGTTTCTCCCAGATTCTCGGGATAGGTCACGTTCAAACTGTTTTTCAACTTAGCACTTCACAGGTGCCAAGATGAAGCTCCTATAGGTACAGACGACGGCACATCAAGTGTTTAACACTGTGGCATCATATGAACGTTGTACTCGTAATAGGGGTTATTTTGGAACAAAAAGTATTTTAGTCTGATTGTAGGTACCTACTTGCAAGAATACTTCAACTTATAAAAGACGATCACCCATAACAGTTCCTCCATCCATTTATAGATAAGTGCAACTCATGACGCAGAAAGTAACTTTCCTAGAAAGTAAAAATCAAGTTTAAGTGATGTTATTTATTTATTTCATTAAGTTGTTACTTACATGACTCAAATTTTGTGTATTGAATTGAATACCATTGATAGCGCTACATTAACATAAACATTTTAAACTCGTCTGGATTACATTATCTTACTTTAACTTTAACAGACGTCAAAGGTATGTCAAACTAAATACAAAAACACCGGATATGGTTAAAGTTAAATACTGTTAAAGTAATATGGTGCAAACCAGTCTTGATAAAGATAATGTAGCACAAATCTACTATCAAGACACACTCTTATAAGTTCGATTAGTATAAAGTGAGAAGAAGAAATTAGACGCTCGTGATGTGGTGCTCGAGAAGGATGCTTGGCATAACCTGGACACAGTTCCGAACCAACGCCTCGATCATCCAAGAGCTTTATGTCAAACAGCGTCTTTCTTCCATCATCCAAAGTCGTATTATCATTTTCTTTGGCCATATTACACGTGGAGACGTCGCTTCTGTTGAACGACTTGTCGTGCAGGGGAAGGTTGAGGGCACAAGAGCGCGCAACAGGTCGCCTATGCGCTGGACTGACCAGGTCAAAACCGTCCACAATGGTGCACAAGAATGGCTGCAGTGCGGGAGGAATGGCGACGGATTGTGAGGCTTGCCACCGGATCTGGTGTGACGACCACGACCACTTTGGCAAGAGTGTAGCGACGAAGAAGAAGTATCATGTAAAACTTAATCTCAAACATAACCTTTAATTTATTTGGTCAATCAACTTTACAGTATGTACTTCATAAAGTACATTTTAGTACACGAATTTTAGTGATACTTATGCATTTTTCTGTGCTGCTTCATGAATTTTTTAGCAGTTCAGTTAGCAGTTTTTTTAATTAAATTCAATTGAATTAAATAGACATAGACGGTACATTATGATTGAACAGAAGCCTCTAGGTTTTGTACGATGAACGTATTTTGATATAAATGACGTTAAACGATTTTGCACTTTGACAGCCTACTTTCATCATAGTTACCTATGGTTGCCCTAATCAAAATGCTATAATGGACACCATTAATTGCGTCTGATTACACAACACTAGTTATTTTCACCGGAACCGCTTAGCATTCTGGATGCTAGTGTTGTACAACACGTGCTGCGAGGCATGTGCTGCGCATGAGTGGATCGGAATCGCTTTCTACGGAATCTGAACGGCTGCGCATTGATCTGAGTTGGATCTTTGGTCCAGCCAAAAGATGAATACTAATCACTGCACACTTGTGACACTGACAAATGATAGTCAATACTAAGGCTGAGTTGCACCACCTAACTTTAAAGGTAACTATGACGATAACCGGTGCTTTTTGTATGGAGTTTGACCTGTAATGATTTTAGAATTAATATTGTATTTTATACGATTATTAGTTTCTTATAGATAGTTATTGTAATAATTTTGGTAGAATTTAAAAACCCATTATTAAAATTAAATACTTTACTTGATTACTTCCTGGACATTGTTGCAGATATTATAATGGTTTCAGAATTTATTCTGTATTATATTCAATTACATATTTCATGTTTATTATTTAATGTAATTATTTTAGAATTTTTATTGTATACAGTTTAGTAATTTAGAAATAAATTGTTATTTAAGTATTGATTTTGACTACTTCCGGGGCATGCTGTCGATAAGTCGTTTCGAGCCGGTTGACTTTGACGAATGGAAGGGGAAGTTGCCTTATCGCGGGCATGCCGCCGGACAGGCAGTTCGATTGGAGCATTCAAAGCAAGAAGTACTAACTTTAAGGTGTTATAATGTTGGAAATGTATAAATTAGTATCTTGAATAAATAAGTAATTGATCTAAAAGTAATTTTTAATGTAATGATTTTAGAATTAATATTGTATTTTATACGATTATTAGTTGCTTATAGATAGTTATTGTAATAATTTTGGTAGAATTTAAAAACCCATTATTAAAATTAAATACTTTACTTGATTACTTCCTGGACATTGTTGCAGATATTATAATGGTTTCAGAATTTATTCTGTATTATATTCAATTACATATTTCATGTTTATTATTTAATGTAATTATTTTAGAATTTTTATTGTATACAGTTTAGTAATTTAGAAATAAATTGTTATTTAAGTATTGATTTTGACTACTTCCGGGGCATGCTGTCGATAAGTCGTTTCGAGCCGGTTGACTTTGACGAATGGAAGGGGAAGTTGCCTTATCGCGGGCATGCCGCCGGACAGGCAGTTCGATTGGAGCATTCAAAGCAAGAAGTACTAACTTTAAGGTGTTATAATGTTGGAAATGTATAAATTAGTATCTTGAATAAATAAGTAATTGATCTAAAAGTAATTTTTCCTCATAGACCTCAACAGACTTTTTGACGTTTGTCAAAGTTAAAGTAAGATGGTGCAATTCAGCCTTATACTTTTATTATAAAGAGGTATAGTTCTTGAGGTTGTAGCGGGTAATCTCTGGACTACTGAACCGATTTTGAAAATGATTTTACCAATAGAAAGCCACTTTATTTGAGTTTCACCCGTAAAATGAACTTTCTGTGAAAAAAGGTGAATTTCGTTTTTTCGGGCGAAGCTGCCGGCAAAAAAGCTAGTTTTTGATAAGGAATGATTCAAACTATGTCGGTACACAATATTGTCACGATAAACATAATTATAGGTATTTACGGGAAAGAATGTACAGTGAAGGTCCCATGGCAATGGCTAGAGAGACTAACTCTCTCTCCCAGAGGTCCTGGACGTCCCAGGAGTATAAGTCAACTATACCGTAGAAGTACCTACAACCGCCTCTGTGGTCTAGTGGTAAACTACCTGCTTCAAATGCAGAGGTCCCGTGTTCGATTCCCAGTGGGGGCAAAGGATGATGGGCATAAATGTATGGAAAGTGGTACCCGCTCCAATAGCCATAACCAATATATATTTTAAAAGGCCTTTAGATGTAGGAAAATGTCTGCTATGGGGCCAGTTCTAATTCACGTTTTGAAAGCAGTAATTCCACTAAGTATTATAATGAAAGTATAACACAATCATCCATGTATACGAGTAGGTATTATGAATACAATCTATTAATATAACTAAAAGAAGCATTGAAAAGGAAAGGATTATACCTACGATGAACTACCCAAGCTATTAGCCCTTTATTCGCTTTCATCGTCATCATCATGATCATTTTAGCCATAGGACGTCCATTTGAACATAGGCCTCCCCCAATGATTTCCACAATGGCCGGTTGGTGGCGGCCTGCATTCAGCGCCTTCCCGCTACCTTTATGAGGTCGTCGGTCCATCTTGTGGGTGGACTTATTGGGTTTTGTGGGTTTATTCGCTTTAGCAACTCATAATAAAACCCGTAAGAAGTAATAAAACTTTAACCCCTTTATTAATAAAAGTTACACCCTCAGATCATAGAAAGAGAATAGATATGAAGTCGCGCGTAACTACAACGAGAACCAGTGTCCCCACATTTCCCCCACCACAGCTCCCACACACACATTCAACTGTGTAAAAACAAAGCGACTGAGAGTCTACGACAACATGTGCAACCGGCTTAAAAGTGCTGTGATTGGCCATAAGGCATGCCTTATAGCCAATCAATGGCCGCGTGACGTGACGCACACTTTGAAAACTAGTGAGAGAACAAAGATAAAATGGAGTCGACAAAATATCGATACTATAAATCGCTAGGGGCAAGGCTCGAAACTGATTTCACAAAATGCTTATGTATGAAAACCTTTTTATTATTTACGTTATTATTAACTACTATCACGCATTTACTTTTTAATTATGGCGATCTGTGTACCGCACATGTTTATCAAAAATAATGCCTATGTTAGGCTTTCACTAGCTCTTATAGTAATTACATAGTTGACAGTTACTAATTACTTCTACTGTTATTATTTTTTTTGTAAAATGTTATAATCGCAAGTAACACATCATTTTTTATTTAAAATTACAAAATAGAAAATTATAATTTACTTCTATTTATCGATAATAGGAAACCGCATTAGAACACGAGCACGGCACT